GGCGGGGGGAGTGGGAGGGGGAGTTAGGTTAGAGCTAGCAATGGGGCAGCATAGGTTAGGTTAGCTCTGCTCTAGAGACTAGAACTATAGCACTCCGATCCGCAGTAGGCCTGCGGCGGAGCGGATCGGGTTGTAGCCCTGCGGCGTAGAGCGGGGGGTTATAGTTCTAGAGCTAAGGTTAGGTTAGCTTAAGCCTAGCGCAGACTTGCGACTTTTTCATGCAACTCGACTGCGATTCTAGAATCGCAGTCGAAATTGCTGTGAAATCGCTATGTCTGCAGGAACGTGCAACTGCAACTCGAACTGGTTTGATTTTCAGCAACTCGTCGCTCCCAATCGCTCCGAAATCGCATTTGTGCACACACACGGTGAAGCATGCAACCGATTGCATGCGGTTGCAGGTTGCAGCGACGAGCAACCAAAAGTCGCAAGTCTGCGCTAGGCTCAAGGTGAGCGAGAGTGAGAGTGACACAGAGGGAGAGAAAGTGCGCATGACAGAGAGAGCGTGCGAGAGTGACAGCGCGCGTGGAAGTGTGTATGAGTCTGGGAGAGCACGCGCGAGAGGCAGAGAGAGAGAGAGTGGTGAGATAGGTTAGATAGAGAGAGATAGGTCATGTATTTAAAAAAAATAAAGGCTGCTATAATATATGACAAGTAAAGTTGTATTTTCATACTAAATCTTTTATTTTTATCAGTTGTTATTATGAATGTTTTACAATGGATATACAAATAAACTGTTATTCTAAACTACTTCTATGACTATGGCTGCTATTCTAGTCTATTTCTTGACTTTCTATCATCACGAGTTTCAGCAATGCATCAAGTCAAAATACAAAGTTATACTAGACTAACAATCCTATATCATCATTTAAAACTACAAGTAACTGCTCAAGTACTTGTAAAATTGACCAGTGACTTGGGAATGACATGCATTTGCTATAAAACGGGTAATGTCAAGAATTCCTAATAATATATCTTGATTATATATACTTGGCTGAACAATGACACAAACCTAATATGAAAATTATTACGCTATGACTAAGTCTATAGCTAACCACTATATTAAATGATGAATTCTTTCTTACTCTCTCACTATCTCTCTTTCTCGCATCTGTCTCTCTCTTTCTGTTATTCTCTATTTATCTCTCTCTCTCACCCCTCTCTCTCTTTCATGTATCGTTGGCTCGCTCTCGCCTTCCTTTCTCTCTCTTTCTCGTCATCTCTCTTTCTCTCTCTGCCTCTCGCGCGCACGCTCTCACCATCGCCCGCGCTCTGTGTCTCTGCCTCTCTTGCTCTCGTCCTGTCTCGCGCACGTTCTCTCTTTCTCTCTCTATCTATCTTTCGTTCGCTCTCGCCCTTTCTTTCGCGCGCATTCTCTACCCATTTAGCCCCTCAACAGGAAGTAACTGCGACGAATTTCGGGTGATTCCCGAACTAAAATAGCGATGAAATCTCTGATTCTCATCAGTTTTCCAAGTTTTACATTTATTTCTAATTTTTTTTTTTTTATGAAATGGATTATGGATTTTGATAACCAAGCGCTTGGTTCGAGCCACTGTTCAATCGATGATCGTGACATCACTAATACACGCTGTATATAGTATGTCAAGGTGTCACTATGCCCTTGCAATTCCCCTGCCCACTTTCTCCATCTTTTATTATTATGTCACGTCAATACCCATTTTCGAAAACTTCTCTCACTATGTGCCTGTAAGGTAAATGCTTGTGTAAAGAATAATCACTAAGTTAGTATGGGTAAGTCTATCATCAATGGAATCATAAACTTCCATCAACAGGTCTGTGTGTGTGTGCGTGCGTGCGTGCGCGCGTGTGTGTGTGCGTGCACGAGCGTGCGTGCATGTGGATACGTGCGTGCATCAATACATACATGTGCATGTAACATCGGGGCACGTGTAAACGTAACGTTGATGTCCATCCATAAATTTCATAGTATACACGTAAATATAAGTGTAACATCACTGCCTCTGCAGGTTTCCCATCGTAAAGGTCTGCCACACGTCATCTACTGCCGCGTGTGGCGGTGGCCGGACCTGCAGTCCCACCATGAGCTGAAGCCACTGGAGGTCTGTGAATACCCATTCAGTGCAAAGCAGAAAGAAGTCTGCATTAACCCTTATCACTACAAGCGTGTGGAGAGCCCAGGTAGGACACGGCATGTGTGCCAGCGATTCGTGATGGAGTAGAGATTAGATTAACTTAATTATGCCTGAGTATTTGTTTCATGCTGTGATACATTCTTTCTGTCAGCAGAAATTCCAATTAACTGTCATAATTTAGAGTGCTTGTTGAGTGCATTCACTTGTGTAAAATGGTGTGTAGTAAACACTGTTGCATTGCATACAACGTGTTGTTTGTTTCAGTGCTGCCCCCTGTTCTAGTCCCACGGTATAGTGAGTATCCACCAGCCATGGGAGCACCGAGCGCTGGACCACCTTCATTTCAGGTAGGAAATATTGTGTTCTCGCGTAAAGGAGCAAGCTTATGTAGTGCAGTTATATGTTGCTATGTGTATGGCACAACAGAGTGTATTTGCGAAAACTACTTCTTTTCTAGTAGGCCTCAGTTAATGTGTCAACTGTCATTGAGCATTCACAGTTGTCAAATATTTAAAGAAGTAAACTGTTTCAATTTTAAACATGGGATCCCCTGATGAAAAGCTGTTATAAGTGCTGTATAATTTTCATCTGATAAGGCATCAGTATTGCCATCGACGTAGCCATTGATATTTATCCGCAGTAGAGGAAATGGCAGGTGCAGTAAATTGTAATGCATGCTTGCTGTTTGCAGGCTGTTCCAGAGCCACACATGCCGCAGAACGTGAGCTATTCGGCCCACGGCTTCACGACGACCCAACCTCACAGCCCTCACCCTGGGGGCATGCCGAGTGTCACAAGTCCTAACCCAACCAGCTCCCCCGGCAGTCCCTTCTCATTGCCTGGTACGTAGCGCTCCCCACATGTCACCAACAGTGTGTGTGCGTGCGTGCGTTTGTGTGTGTGCGTGTGCGTGCGTGCGCGCGTGTGTGTGTGCGTGCGTGCGTGGGTGTGTGCGTGTGTGCATGCATGCGTATGTGCGTGTGTGTGTGTTCGTGTATGCGTACGTGCGTGTTTGTGCATGCGCATATGTGTGTATCCTTATACATCGCAAATCACAAGAGACTGAAATATGGTTAAATTCCAGATATTTAATATATTTTTTTGTTATTGATTTTATTCTGAGATTAATATGAACTGAATCTGTATGACTTTTAATCTCAATGACTCATAGTGAATCTTTTATTAAAATTACAACAACAAAACTTTCACTTCCACTTCATTCGAGTTCCTTTGAGTTCACTCCACGACTGTTTGAATATAAGTTTTATCGAGTAGAGGTGATTTTATTGTCTAAACTCTAATGGATTGAGTGTCATCATGTTAGTTTCCCATCAGTCCCTGCCTCCTCTCATGCCTCCACAGACTCCACCGACTCCAGCTGTGTTTCCCCCAGCTGCAGTCGTTTGCTGAGCACGCCTTCCTCACCACTGGGCCCGGATGCTTGCTTCGGTGTTCCTGACGATCCTGAGACCCACGCCCACCAGCTTGACCTGCACGCGCTGTGTGTGGAGGCTGGTATCACCTTACTGAGTGGTCCCGACACTCCCTTGTCTCTGCCTGACCCTCACACCACACCTCTTCCTCCTGGCTCATGCTTGCAGTTGAGTGGTGAGTGACACCATCGCGTGGGGGAGGCACCGACCAGGAGGCAGTCGGTTCGGAAACCTAGTCATTAGTGGGGTTACCTGCTCGTGGAATGTCAGCAGTTAGTGCAACCTTGTACGGTGTGGCACCAGCTAAGCTGGTATCTGTAGGCGTGTTTCTTGATATATGCTATTTAGCTGATATGGGCGATGTGAAATGTGCATGTTGCGTGCGTATGTTGTAAGATTGTTTGCGTGTTGTTGTCACGTTTTAGTGGTAAATCTGTTACGTGGTTTCAGCGGATACTCCCCCTCCTGCTTATGGACCACCAGAAGAGAACGACAATCCAATGGACACCACCCTTCCTGTGGCTGCGGGTAGGTAGAATTGTTATGCAGTACAGTAAAATTTGCATAAGTCGACACTTTTGGGACCAGCATATTTGTGCCGACTTACGAAAATGACGACATACGCGTAAGTCGTCATTTTGTCGGCTTATATGTAGGGCTCCCCTCCCAGACGCCCGTCACCCCTACGCAGTCATAAACATGCTCCACACACGACATCAGTTCGCACCACATACGTAGCAGACATGAAACAATCGGGTCTGTACATCAATCGACACCGCTGCTGGCTATAACGCACATACAGCGTACGCACTAGCGGCAAGCGCGGCACACACTGGCTATCTGTAACACCCGCTGTTGATTACACGTTTGGACATTGCAGGACATTTGCGGTGCACGTCTGCCAAATTTTCTTGGAACACTTGCTGAAAAAATATGGTAATTCTGCGAGGCCATGCTCTGAAACAAACTAGGTAGTATAGCAGAATTTTCAGGGAGACACACGGACTCCTGCATAGGTCGAATATGCGCATATCTGCGACAGCCAGCTCGCACATCCCCTAGACCTGTACACTGCGCCATCGGCATTTCTGATGACGACTTACAGATGGGAAATTACTGTTGTTTGTATTACATGGGACCTATCTGAGGGTGATGACTTGCACATAATGATGACTTATAAATGACTACTTAGGCGGGGCTATTCCAATGGATTTACTATGAGAGAAAATCGGGACTTTGACTTCCGTGACGACTTATTATGCGAATTGACGAGTTAGACGATGACAACTTATGCGAGTTTTACTGTATTAATATGCAGTCAAATCTAGGAGGGGAGAAGGTGATAGTGAATGAAGGGGTAATAGAATAAGGAGAAGATGGAGGTGGAATAAGAAAAGAAAAGTTTGCTACATCATCGGACCTATCAATAGAATTCAATTTTGACTATATAGGATGGACACATATAGAGACAATAAATGAAAGCCTAAAAGTCATTTGCAAAGTATTGACTCCAAATGCTCATATCTACAAACAATCTGCTCACGCTCTCATGCATCTGTATGTCTGTGTGCAGGGTGCGAAATTAATGCGAGTCCGGAGACAAACGCTCCCTGATTTACTGTCGGACTCCCTGATTTGACATATGCAGGAGTCTGTGTGACTCCCTGAAAATTCTGCTATACTAACTAGTTCGTTCCAGAGCACGGCCTCGCGGAATTGCCGTATTTTTTCAGCAAATGTCCAAATACAATTTGGCGGCGAGCAACCGCATGAATCTTCAAAATAAGCACACGCGTTATTGTTAATATCTTTAGTTTTGAACTGCGAACTCCTTCATTTTGCCGCCGACTCCCTGTTTTTGAGGGCAGGTGTTCCGTTGGACTCCCTTGTTCGAAGGTTAATTTCTACCCCTGTGTGTGCGTTTGGCAGATCTGCAGCCGGTCACCTACCAGGAGCCGCAGTGCTGGTGTTCGATCGCCTACTACGAGCTGAACAACCGCGTGGGCGAGGTGTTCCACGCATCCAGTCACAGCATCGTCGTCGACGGCTTCACCGACCCGTCCAACAACAACGACCGCTTCTGTCTCGGCCTGCTGTCCAACGTGAACCGCAACTCGACCATCGAGAACACACGGCGCCACATCGGGAAGGGTGAGTGTAGCAAGCTGACGTCTATACGTGTATGTGCCGTCACATCGGTAAGGGTGAGTGTGGCTTGCTGACACCTATATGTATGTGTATGTGCCGTCACATCGGTAAGGGTGAGTGTGGCAAGCTGACACCTATATGTATGTGTGTGCCGTCACAGGCGCAGTTGTTGCTAAGTTACGCTCTGTCATATGCCAATCGCATATAATTTCTGTATCATTGTAGGCATCAAACGGTTGTGCATGTGTGCTATTTTCTCGGAGCTTGCTACGTGCTAACGCGTGTGTCACATCTGTCAATGCTCACACTGCGCTACATTATGTTTTTGTAGGGTTTAAATACACCGCAAGTCCTTCGCTAAATTTACCGAGACCCTGCAGAGGTGTCGGTAAAGTTGTTCGCTAAATAACGAATAACTTTAGCGAATGGAGCTTTGTGAAACACGCGCGGACGTGTTCTTCGCTATTTACCGATCAACTTTGAAAATAGCGAAGGAAAAATAGCGAACGAACGTTAGTGAAACGCGCCCCAGCATGGCTGCAAGGGGGTGGGTTCGGGAGGGGGTGATGGATTTTTTTTTGGTTAGATCTATGCAATTTCCTGGACTCCAGAGAGACAGAGTAGATGAAGTGGGAGAAAGGGAGTAACAGAGTTTTTTATGTCATTTATCAAAATTTCTTATTTTATGACTTTAATAAATTAGTTTGGTCTGTCTGAACTGTTGTAGTTGGGATCAGACATAGGAATGTACATTTTATGAAATATCCATAAATGAGTTGACTGATATGATCCGTTATAATGCCTCCTAACAGGTTGCTTATTAACTCAATCACCTATACTTACATATTAATAATCTCGCACTTAAATTGACTACGTCACGAATTTTCTATGGTGTATTTTTTGTTAATTTTGTTGCCATTTTTTTACATTAAAAGTAGGCCTAAGTACTAACGGGACTAAATGTATCGTCAAATTCTTACCTGATAAGATTGTTTCTCAACTAATTAGAAATCCAAAAAACCTGGACGATTTGATATTATGATACTGACATTAATTGCTTGCTATGGGCTATGTATGAGTCACGAGTGTATGTTTACATCGAACAATATAGAAAAATAGGAAGTATAATGCAGCAATTTAACCATAAAAAGTTAACAGAATTACTTACATTTTGTGAAAAAGTGGAAATATATTTTTTATTTTTACTATTTACGGTGACGTAATCACTTTAATCATTGCAGTTTTGTCTTTACTGTTGTTACAGAGCAAGGAACCAGGAAGGAACCGGGAATAAGTAATCAGGACTTCAAACTCACTTCTGCTGAGAAGCTGCATAACATTGCCACACCCACGGATCAGCACACCCCGGCAATGAGCCACCAAATTGTGTAAAAGGACAGTTGTGCAGACATAGACACATCATCAAGCTGACGGGATGTGTGAGTGCATGAAATCATTGAAACCAAAACTGTTATTGCAACGATGCACTACGTTAACGTGAAACTGCCTTGTTACCATCTATATGTTGTTAATGGAATCCAGAGTAGTTTTTTATCTAGTTCATTGTTAGACATCAGCAGTTCTTGTTTCAGGGTAGAAGTATGACTATAGCATCTACATTCGTCAGAAGACGATGCCCACCATTGTCCAGCCTACATCATATGGAGGCAGATCTATCTATCGCCTCACTGCAAGACGCGAAATGTCACCTTGGACCAATCCGGAGCGTCAGCTTTTGAGTGGGAACCTCTCCGGGCGGAATTTCATCACAAGTCAAGAAGAATCAAGAGTATTGCTCGGTTCTAATACCAGTTGCATGCAACCTCATGACTCACCGTTACTTCAACCTTGCTGGCCCTCAGACGACGACTACCCATCCAAGATGATACCTGATTCCATGATATATATGCATATATATACGACACATGTTTATATCTTATGAAAGAGGAGAGACTTTCATTTCACAAGTCCATAGTGGGAAGGTGAGCTTCCTCTTCCACCCAAGCTATAAGTTGCCAACCATTGAATATATGCTTCCCTCTATCTGAGATCTATCAACAAAGACTAACAAAAACAGCAAAGAGATGATCCAGAAATGAGCTGCTAACTTCATCACCAACTCCACTACCACCAATACCACCTACTTATGGAGACAGTGTCATAGCCGTGCAAGAGCCACCTGGGAAGAGCAGTGGCCATGTGATTGGCACTCATGACTTCAGGCTGAAAAGTCTGCCAGGGGGGTGAGACAACACCTTGGCTGGTCAGAGCATGGGAAATCACACCTCCCCCCTCCCATGAGCGTGGGAGTTAGGGTTGGGGTGTCCGGCTCGCAGCTTTACCCTGGCGAAATAGCAATGAGCAAGGCACTTTATCCCAGTTTGCTTGGATAAGGGAGTGACTTTGTCACTAGTGAGGAGATAGCTTCCTTTGCCGCCCTAGCTACAGGTTGTCCTTAGGCAAGGCATAGCACCTGTTTAGCCTCCCGTGCCAGGGTTACGGTGAAGATGTCTAATATATAGCGGAGATGGACTGAACACAGCATTGAACATAACAAAATTGGAGGGAAGGAGAAACATAGCTAAAGGAGTGCTGCTCTACTATATAATCCACATCAAAGAAGGTAAATATCTTTCTCCAGCTAAATATCTGCTAGTGACCCAAGGAAGATGGAGAAGAAGAAGAAGATGAACAAAATGAAGAAGGAAACGCCGCTGACGAGGACGAGGACGACGACGACGATGAAGAAAAAGAAGAAGAAATAGACTATGATGACGATGTGGGCAACGACCAAGATGATGACTTCAACAATGAAAAGGAAGTAAAAGAGGAATGTCTGATCATAGGTACCTTGTTTGTTTTTTTAGTCATTACCGCACAAGCAAATCTAATTCAGTCAATTGTAATATATAGATATAAACGTGCTTGTGTCAAATTAAGTGATCAATATACGACATTATCTGGTTGGCAGAACCAAACTTAAAAATTTTCACCAATTTTCACCAACTATACATGTTCTGTCACTTTGAAGGTACGTATCTGTTTTCAGATGGAAGAGGGATAATTTGTGCCAGAGTGTTGAGTCATGAGGCTGGGATTGGAGCAAGATGTCTTTTCCTCCATTCAAACACCATGCATGCTTATCATTTAGACCAGCAATACACAGTGAGTAGTTTCTGTCTGTGTCTTAGGAAAGAGCGTGTCTTGTGGGCATGTATTAGAGTAAACAGTAGCATATAGTGAGAGTGTTTGAGAGAGGGTGAGGAATAGGGGGTGTATACATATATGTGTGCGTGTGTGCATGTATGCGTACGTGCATTCATGCATGTGCGTGTGTGTGTCGAGAGAGAGAGAGAGAGAGAGAGAGAGAGAGAGAGAGAGAGAGAGAGAGAGAGAGAGAGAGAGAGAGAGAGAGAGAGAGAGAGAGAGAGAGAGAGAGAGGGAGAGGAGGCGAGGGGGGATTAATTTGGTCTGTCTGACTGTTATAGTTGGGATCGGACATAAGAAGTTAGGGCTGTCATTGATATGAAAATATTTCGATTCGATTAATTACCAAAAATAGTGTTTTCGCGATATTTCGAGTTTGATTCGTATAATATAAATATAATGGTTTCAATCTTATTTGGCATGTATGGTAGGTAGCCTTGGTGTAATTTTGAACTTAAATTAGTGCACCTGACGCTACATTGCATGGGACTGAATGTTTCCCTGCTAGAAAATCAACGCATAGTTTTTAAGCAACTAAAAAGAAAGAATACACCTAAAGAGTTGACCTATATATTTATATTGGCAACGTGAATAAAAATGAAATATAACGAACAGAAAGTGACAGAATGACTCCCACGTCTACTCATCACCAGGAGCTCAGTAAAGCTAGCTCATCATAATACTAAAGATACAGCACCACTAGTCGGTAGTCCATCTTAGGTAGTTAGGGTCACAATATGTCTCCTCCGAAGCAGCGCTATGCTTCTAATACTTTGTATAGTTATAGTGTAAAGAGAAACTAATACTGTTGGCATTGCCAGGCACCAAAACTCTGCCCTCCCCACTGTTAAAACACCACCTGCAGTAGAGAATACCCTCTCATATTTCAGCAGAATAACCTAATGAGATGTAAGGTAACAACACTACAGCAAACGGTTTTTTACTAATACTATTTTACTGTATCAAGATGCTATTCTGGAATTTTTTTCAATACGATATCGCACGCGAATCCATCGGGCGATACATCGACGGCGTTGGTATTGATGACAGTCCTAATAGAATGTAAATTTATGAAATATCCATAAATTAGTTGACTGATATGATCTGTTATAATGGCCTCCTAACAGGTTGCTTATTAACTTAATCACCTATACTTACATATTAATAATCTCACACTTAATCATTACACTTTGTCTTTACTGTTGTTACAGAACAAGGAACCAGGAAGGAACCGGAACAAGGATCAAGGAACCAGGAACGAGACGAGGATCCAGGAACCAGGACAAGGAACCAGGACTTCAAACTCACCTCTGCTGAGAAGCTGCGTAACACTGGGCACACCTACGGATCAGCACACCCGGCAATGAGTCACCAAATTGTGTAAGAGGACATTTGTGCAGACATAGACACATCCTCAAGCTGACGGGATGTGTGAGTGCATGAAATCGTGAAGCCAGGACTGTTATTGCAATGATGCACTACGTTAACGTGAAACTGTCTTGTTACCATCTGCGCATGTTGTTAATTGAATCCAGAGTAGTTTTTCATTGAAGTTCGTTTTAGACATCAGTAGTTCAATGTTTGAAGTATTTGACTAGATATTTTAATGACAAAGATAGGAAATGTGTTGCATTTAAACCATTTTTATTAACGTTAGGAGCCAATTCACTCGCTTCAAATTCAACTGCTATATTGCCGTAAGAACGTAATTTGCAGCAAAAAATGTGACCGTAACATTGTAGTTATAATTTGCCAGCAACCTCGCCACAGATGGCAGTCGTTGACCATTAGTGAAGTGATTTCACTGGTGACCATAGTCGTAGATTTGGAAGCAAATTGATTCGTTTCATGTAAATTTTATTTTTGTACTGTATTTGCAAATGTATGTGAATGTAGAATAAATTTTCTAGGTGTTTTTTTTCAGAATGGATGATTGCCGAGAGTGACCGCGAGAATGACGCCGTGAGTGTAACAGGGGGGTAGTGAAGGGGGAGGGGGAGGGGGTGGAGTGGGCACAGGGAGGGGGTGAGGGTGGCGAATAGGGGAGGGGAAGGAGGGTCAAGGTGGGGGGCGGGGGAGGTGGGGGAGGGGGGAGTAAGGATAGAAGGAGAGACTGCATTGGGGCAGCATAGGTTAGGTTAGCTTAGCTTAGGTAGGCTCTAGAACTATAACCCTTCGCTCTGTATGGTGTTATAGTTCTAGAGCTAAGCTTGAGTGAGAGTGAGTGTGACACAGAGGGAGAGAAAGCGAGTGTAAGAGTGAGAGCGAGCGAGAGTGACAGCGCGTGCGTGGAAGTTGTGTATGAGTCTGGGAGAGCACGCGTCGAGAGGGAGAGAGAGAGAGCGGCGAGACTAGGCTAGACAGAGAGATAGCTTAGATAGAGAGAAATAATAAATGCTATTAGCAAGTTGTATTTTGTAAATAAAACTTTATTTTTAACGATTTTACTTTTAAATTATTTTACAATTGATATAATAAAATGTTTATTGCTAAAACTAGCTAATTCTTGATTTTCTTTTTTCTTTTCACTCCTGAGTCTATGGTAAACCACTGAGCTAAGCTTTGCGAAGCTAAGCGAAAATTAGAAATAACTGCATCAAACGATTATATGCTTGACTGACCTGACTACTGACATCAACTTATATACGATTGACTGACTATTGATATAAACAAATATACGATGGACTGACTATTCATATGAACTATATACGATTGACTGACCTTCATATGTAACAAATATACGATTGACTGACTATTAATATGAACTAATATACGACTGACTGACTATTGATATGGATTTATATTGATTGACTGACTATTGATATGACTAATATATGAACGACTACAAAGATTCGACATCACGACAACCTTGTATCGGGTTAATAAATGACAAATGTCAATTAATGACAAATTAATTATAAATTGACAAATGTCAATTTGTCATTATTAACCCCTGCTAGTATGTAAACTAAGGCTATGAGATAAGAGTGAGGTATGAGATAAGAGTAAAGGCTGTAAGATAAGAGTCAAGCGTATGCGATAAGATTGAAGGCTATGAGATAAGAGTGAAAGGATAGTAGATGAGACAGAGGTAGTAGACGAGAAAAAGAGAGAAACTGAGAGGTAGTAGATAAAACTAAAGGTAGCAGCGGCCGTAGCCTCTGTGCGCAATGGATGGGGGCAGCTGTCCACTAGATTGTGGAGCAAAACAATTATTGACAATTATGACTTATTCAATTTTGTGGCCCTAGTTTGTACCTAATTGTCACACGTCATTGCCAAGTGAAATATTCTACAAGAATATTTATATTAATATAATTTTAAAAGTGTATCGTGGGCATGATCGCTTTGATGGCAGTACATAGACCATTAGCGGATTCCAACGGGGGTGCAGGCGGGTCTAATTGAATAAATGTATTATATATATAATATATATATATATATATATATATATATATATATATATCAGGAATATATATATGTATATATTTATATATATTTGTATGTTTTGGTGTGTTTTCCTTCCCAACAAGCGTAATTCTTTTAGGACAAATGGCATCTACGATGAGGTTTAGTAAAAAAAACATTTTCAGGACCCGCTACCACAGGTTTCACAACCTCGTTGTTCGCAGTGTGCCCCCATTTTTTTGAAACGTCAATCCCCCAGGGCTGTAGACCAAGTGACTGGCTCCAAAAACCAACCTGATGAAAAAGACACACCCCTCCTGGAATGATTCGCTACGGACCTGTGACCATTAAACACCGCGTCATGAAATTTTGCGCCCCTTCCCCGAAGAATTTGCTCAGTCTACGGTCCTGCTACTGCAACTAATAGATAGGTAGTAGAAGAAACTGATGGGTAGGAGATGAGACTTGAGGGGTGGCAGATGAAACAGATTATACTATAGTAAGCTTCAGTTAGTACAGTTACTTAAGCTAGTTTCTTATATCGCGTATAACATAATGGACAAAATAATCGTTGCTGTTGTCGGTGAAGGTCCGCATAGGGGCGCCACGATCGCAGAGAAGACTAGCACGTTGTAGAAGGTTCGTCTGTCAGCCGCGTGTACCTAGGAGGAAGATTAGAAACGAGTTAAGATCAATGTATTTTACTATGAACGAACAATATACAACAAATAATCATGTGTTAAAATAAACTTGTTGGTATACGGGATATCGCAATGAATATTTCTCTAAATAGAGAATTGCCTTACATTATTGCCATGATTTTACACGCGAGGTGAATGCTTCGAATAAAGAATGTCGGTGGGATGGGGGCAGGATGAGGTATTGGTTAAAGTGGAAAGGCGTAGCAGGTGCATGGGGTCTAATAATATAGCAGGTAGGTGATGAATTATATATTTTCGTGAAAGTTTTGCTGGAAGAAATATTATTTAGCCAAAGTTGACTCGTGAATTCTGACCATTAAATTGGAGAAAAGCGACCTTTCTTATCAGGTCCTCTCGTGACCTGCACATGTGTGTATGTGTGTGTGTGTGTGTGGGGGGGGGGGTGATAAAAAAAAGAGTTAACATTACTTTCTACTCTAACATGTAAGTGAATAACCAAGGAGCGTAGCTTGATAAAATTATTGAAGGGAAGCAAAATTGCGTGAACTACTTGAGCAATAAATGACAAGGTAATACATTTAACGGGTTCAAAAAAATAAACCACATGTAGGCATCGATCATGCATGGATTAGGCTGAAGGTTTTATTTTCTATTATTCATTGGCATTTATATTTACATTTACATTAATTTACTTACATCAACTTTCAAAATTTTCCTATTTGCATTTAATAGTTGTATATATTTTTTATCATCCAAAATTCAGGGGGCACCGGCCACCTTCATCTACCTCCCCCACCCTCGAGGCCATGACCATGACAATAACGATAAGGACTATATTCTCTACCGGGGAAGCCCGCACCTCAAATACAGCAGCTTCCCCTGTGTGTAAATCTCATATAAGAGACAAATATGAACAGTACGCCTAACTAACCGCTGAACAAGATCAAAGCTATATTTATTTTCTTTGTGTACGTGTCTGTGTGTATACGCGTGTGCTTGCATGTGCGTTCGTACATGTGTACGCCTGTGCGTGTGCGCGTGTTTATGTGCGCGCCTGCGTTTGCCTGTATGTTCGTGCATGTGTGGCTGCGTGGCATGTGTGCATGTTTGTGTGTACATACATGAGCGTGCGTGCGTGCGCGCGCGTGTATGTATGTATGTGAATGTGTGACTCCGTGTGTCTGCGCGCGTGCGTGTGTGTGTGCATGTGTGTGCGTGCGTGTGTGTGCGTGCGTGCGTGCGTGTGCGTGCGTGCGTGTGCGTGTGTGCGTGTGTGCGTGTGTGCGTGTGTGTGGTGTGCGTTTGTAGGTATGTATGCGTGATTTTCTCGCGTGACCCACTTATGTTGTAATTTACGCAGTAGAACCGCTACTTTTCCAGCAGCCATTGTCAAACCAGAAATATATTAAAAATTATTTCATCTTCACATTACAGTCTAGTTCGTATTTAGTTTACGTAGAGTACATGACACGTGCCCAGACGTTTCCAAAGAATGAATAGAGAATTTATTCTTTTCCAGCTACCTGCTGCTATAATGCTTTACAGTTATTACTTGAGTAAATATATGTAATATTCTTACTTTTAAGTAGCGCCTTCTCATGCGATAATCCAGCATGTACTAACCACCGCGTCGACGAATCCAGCCTGTAAAAATAAGAAACACGATCAATGGACGAATTTTGTGACTTATAATAAACAATCTATATAGATTAACCAAAAATCAAACTCCAACATTCTGAAATATGTATTTAATTAACGCTCTATATTTAATCGTAAAATGCTAATGGGACAGTATTGACATTACGTTTATGTTTACTTATGTGATTTGTAACAAACAATCTATAAATTAACCAAAAATCAAACTTCAAATTTCTAAAATATTTATGTAGTAAACTCTATATTTAATAGTAAGATCTCAAACTTACAGAACTGACGTGGTACGGTGTGTGAATGTGTGTATGTGTGTGTGTGTGTGTGTGTGTGTGTGTGTGTGTGTGTGTGTGTGTGATTTTTTAAACATGCGCTGTGTGCGTGCGCGAGAGACAGAGCGAGAGAGAGAGAGAGAGAGAGAGAGAGAGAGAGAGAGAGAGAGAGAGAGAGAGAGGGAGAGGGAGAGAGGGAGAGCGAGGGGGGATTAATTTGGTCTGTCTGAACTGTTATAGTTGGGATCGGACATAAGAAGTTAGAGCTGTCATTGATATGAAAATATTTCGATTCGATTAATTACCAAAATAGTGTTTTCCGATATTTCGATTTGATTCGTATAATATAAATATAATGTTTCAATTCTTATTTGGCATGTATGGTAGGTAGCCTTTGCTGTAATTTTGAACTTAAATTATTGCACCTGACGCTACATTGCATGGGACTAATGTTTCCCTGCTAGAAATGCAACGCATAGTTTAAGCAACTAAAAAGAAAGAATACACCTAAAGAGTTGAACCTATATATTTATATTGCAACGTGAATAAAATGAAATATAACGAACAGAATGTGACAGAATGACTCCACGTCTACTCAATCCACCAGGAAGCTCAGTAAAGCTAGCTCATCCATAAACTAAAGATACAGCACCACTAGTCGGTAGTCCATCTTAGGTAGTTAGGTCACAATATGTCTCCTCCGAAGCAGCGCTATGCTTCTATACTTTGTATAGTTATAGTGTAAAGAGAAACTAATATGTTGGCATTGCCAGGCACCAAACTCTCCCTCCCCATGTTAAAAACACCACCTGCAGTAGAGAATACCCTCTCATATTTCAGCAGAATAACCTATGAGATGTAAGGTAACAACACTACAGCAAAACGGTTTTTTACTAATACTATTTTACTGTATCAGATCGCTATTCTGGAATTTTTTTCAATATCGATATCGCACGCGAATCCATCGCGATACATCGACGGCGTTGGTATTGATGACAGTCCTAATAGAAATGTAAATTATATGAAATATCCATAAATTAGTTGACTGATATGATCTGTTATAATGCCTCCTAACAGGTTGCTTATTAACTTAATCACCTATACTTACATATTAATAATCTCACACTTAATCATTACACTTTTGTCTTTACTGTTGTTACAGAACAAGGAACCAGGAAGGAACCGGAACAAGGATCAAGGAACCAGGAACGAGGACGAGGATCCAGGAACCAGGGCAAGGAACCAGGACTTCAAACTCACCTCTGCTGAGAAGCTGCGTAACACTGCCACACCTACGGATCAGCACACCCCGGCAATGAGTCACCAAATTGTGTAAGAGGACATTTGTGCAGACATAGACACATCCTCAAGCTGACGGGATGTGTGAGTGCATGAAATCGTTGAAGCCAGGACTGTTATTGCAATGATGCACTACGTTAACGTGAAACTGTCTTGTTACCATCTGCATGTTGTTAATTGAATCCAGAGTAGTTTTTCATTGAGTTCGTTTTTAGACATCAGTAGTTCAATGTTTGAAGTATTTGACTAGATATTTTAATGACAAAGATAGGAAATGTGTTGCATTTAAACCATTTTATTAACGTTAGAGCCAATTCACTCGCTTCAAATTCAACTCTATATTGCCGTAAGAACGTAATTTGCAGCAAAAATGTGACGTAAATTGTAGTTATAATTTGCAGCAAACCTCGCCACTAGATGGCAGTCGTTGACCATTAGTGAAGTGATTCACTGGTGACCATAGTCGTAGATTTGGAAGCAAATTGATTCGTTTCATGTAAATTTTATTTTGTACTGTATTTGCAAATGTATGTGAATGTAGAATAAATTTTCTAGGTGTTAGTTTTTTCAGATGGATGATTGCCGAGAGTGACCGCGAGAATGACCGTGAGTGTAACAGGGGGGTAGTGAAGGGGGAGGGGATGTATGTGTGTGCCGTCACATCGGTAAGGGTGAGTGTGGCAAGCTGACACCTATATGTATGTGTGTGCCGTCACATCGGTAAGGGTGAGTGTGGCTAACTGACATTTGTATGCGTGTGTGTTGTCACATTGCAAATGGTGAAAAATTTCACAAATTCTTCATGTCAAGAAGCGTGCTCATTCTCGACGATTGCCCATGCTTCTTACAGGTGTCCACCTATACTACGTTGGTGGTGAGGTGTATGCAGAGTGTCTCAGTGACAGCTCTATCTTCGTGCAGAGCCGAAACTGCAACCACCACCATGGATTCCATCCAACCACCGTCTGCAAGATCCCGCCTGGATGCAGTCTGAAGATCTTCAACAACCAGGTGATTGGGTTTGTTCGCATGCAAGCGTGCTTCACTGCTACCACTGCCGGTAATAGTGCAGCGAGACCGTAGTAAGATGGCACTTATTTACTGGGGTTAGCACAGTATGACTATAAGTGCAGGCAACGGCAGATTAACTTGCATATATAGCATAAAAATGTGCTGGTACTATTCTAGTAATATCATGCTTACTTGTGTTTATGATATATGGTGCCACACTAGTATTGTTGTTGTTATTAGTGTTGCTGCGATAGCACGCTAGTAACTTTATTAATAATAGTCTTGATAAAATAGAGCGCTAGTTGTACATGATGTTGTAAGTGGTGTTATTCAGATTCTATGTAACTACGGCACGTTCGATGCACGTGCATGCCCAGCTGCGCGTTCTGCGTGAAAAGTGTCATGTCTCACCGGCAGAGGTTTGATTCGTTGCAGGAGTTTGCGCAGTTGCTGAGTCAGTCTGTCAACCATGGCTTCGAGGCCGTTTATGAGCTGACGAAGATGTGCACGATCCGCATGAGCTTCGTCAAGGGCTGGGGTGCCGAGTACCACCGCCAGGATGTGACCAGCACTCCCTGCTGGATCGAGATCCATCTACACGGACCACTGCAGTGGCTGGATCGCGTGCTCACCCAGATGGGCTCTCCCCACAACCCAATCTCCTCCGTATCGTGACACTGCACACCGGTGTCGTCTATAAGCGCTCGATAATTTGTGGGTGTTTTCGGTGGAAGAGTGTTTGGGTGCGCACCTGCGGAGATTGGGGAGAGTGCCAGACTGCGAACTTGCGTGACACGTGCACTTTCACAACCAGCAAACATCCCGGAGTTTTTCGACTAGGTTTTTGTTTCGTCGCGTATGCCCGAGTCGGGCATGACCCACCCGGTGGTGTTACAGCTCGGTTTGACTGTCACACTGCTAAAGTAGCCGATGCGATTGTCTGATAGAAGAGTGTTATTAAAATTTCGGCGATACCAACCCTCTGTACATAATTAATCGTCGCCTACTGTCTCGTACTTGTGTTTTTCGAAATGCCTGCCCCTTGTCAGCGCGGGTGTCATATCGATAGGTTTTTCGTAGCATTGTGTTTGAGGTTCGTTTGTTGTGGGAACATCCATGAGAGCATGGGATGGGTGTGTGTGTGTGTGTGTGTGTGTATTAGCTGAAGCTTTGCTTCGCTACAGAGTAGAGTCTATGCAAGGAATGCGAGAACTAGCCCATCAGGCTTGCGGCAAACGTCTCGCTGTACGTCGATAACAGCTGTTCTCTTCTTTCTCACGTGTTTAATCACGAAAATAATGCCTCGTCTTGACGGTGTGAGTGTTTGTTCGCGAATTGTATTTAGTCACGATGTGCTTGTAAGGGCACGTGTGTATCTCAGTTGTGCTATGATGTGTGCGGTGCAGACCGGAGTGGGGCGGCGCGAAATTATCGGTTGCGAAATCATGGTAAAATCAAAATCAAAGGGTTAGTTCATTGTAGTAGTTTGACTGCTCTGAAAACCGCTTGTGGATTTTCTCACCAGATGGCTCTTTCTCGAGCGATATTATATATATATATATATATATATAAAAATGCTATTAAGCAAGTTGTATTTTGTAAATAAAACTTTTATTTTTAACGAATTTACTTTTAAATTATTTACAATTGATATAATAAAATGTTTATGCTAAACTAGCTAATTCTTGATTTTCTTTTTCTCTTCACTCCTGAAGTCTATGGTAAACACTGAGCTAAGCTTTGCGAAGCTAAGCGAAATTAGAAAATAACTGCATCAAACGATATATGCTTGACTGACTGACTACTGACATCAACTTATATACGATTGACTGACTATTGATATAAACAAATATACGATGGACTGACTATTCATATGAACTAATAGACGATTGACTGACTATTCATATGAACAAATATACGATTGACTGACTATTAATATGAACTAATATACGACTGACTGACTATTGATATGGATTTATATATGATTGACTGACTATTGATATGAACTAATATATGAACGACTACAAAGATTCGACATCACGACAACCTTGTATCGGGTTAATAATGACAAATGTCAATTAATGACAAATTAATTATAAATTGACAAATGTCAATTTGTCATTATTTAAGAGTCAAGCGTATGCGATAAGATTGAAGGCTATGAGATAAGAGTGAAGGGATAGTAGATGAGACAGAGGTAGTAGACGAGAAAAGAGAGAAACTGAGAGGTAGTAGATAAAACTAAAGGGTAGCAGGGCCGTAGCCTCTGTGGCAATGGATGGGGGCAGCTGTCCACTAGATTGTGGAGCAAAACAATTATTGACAATTATTGACTTATTCAATTTTGTGCCCTAGTTTGTACCTAATTGTACACAGTTCATTCCCAAGTGAAATATTCTACAAGAATATTTATATTAATAATAATTTTAAAAAGTGTATCGGTGGCATGATCGCTTTGATGCAGTACATAGACCATTAGCGGATTCAACGGGGGATGCAGGCGGTCTAATTGAATAAATGTATATATATATAAATTATATTCGTATGTTCTGGTGTGCTTTTCTTCCAAACAAGCGTAATTCTTTTAGGACAAATAAGCTATTGTACTATTTCTGTAGTATTTTCTAGCGAGTCTTTTCTGTTTCGGGTTTTGCGTGCCTCGCTAAACATGCTGCGATGCAATGATATGCTGTGAGAATTAGCAGATTATACCATGAATTAAGAGATACATTCTAGTTTAGAAGCAAGACAACTGTGAGTTAACGTTCATATTTCAAACAAGGCAAGTCAAAGGTGGTAATAGAATAGTTTTATTTGAGATATACAGAGTTATTCATCTATATCTGCAGAGGTGATAGGTTTTTTGTATGGAAGGGTGTCAGGCTGTATAGACAATCCGTCGCACAGCCTGGTCGGGCTACTATCAGTGTAGTTCTACTTGTTTTACAGGAATTGCTGGAACATGATTTACTTCTTAGTAGTCACTAAGTAAAAACAGTAAGGAAATTGGTAAATATTGTTGATATAAAGGCAAGGTAGGCAACATTTTGAATAGGCCAAGTGGACTGATTATATGGGGGGGTTGAACCGGCAGTTTAGGGGGTTGAACCGGCGGTTTAGGGGGTTGAACCGGCGGTTTAGGGGGTTGAACCGGCGGCCGCCGGCAAAATAGCGCTAATTTTGCGCACTGTTGTGAGAATCGGACAAAAATGTAATGATCAATCGTTACACTCACAAACTGATTGATTATCGATAAATCATCAATAAAATTATGATGATAAGTGAACACTATGATAGTGGTATTAGTGCAGATGTTATTAATGTTCAACATTTAATGTCTTCAGCGTTTAAATCAATTTAGAACGGCTCACTGAGTAGAAGTCGAGTTGAAACGATCAACAAAGCTATACCTTAATTATTGTTTGCTATTTGTGGTTGTGTCTTTCACATTTTTATGGTCCTTAGTAGCCTTCTTCAAGAGATGTGGCAACTGAGTAGAACTCAATCATGATGCGTGTGTGTGCGTGTGTGTGCGTGTGTACACGTGTGTGCGCGTGTGTACGTTCGCATGCGCGTGAGCCTGTGTGTGTGTGCGTGTGTGTGTGCGTGCACGCGCATGTTGGTTTTCGTGCGTGCTTTCTTTCGTGCGTGTGCGTGCGAAAAAGTTTTATCTCCGGCCTTTAATAATTCGAGTGTACTGTATCGAATAAAGCCATTTTTATCACGTGGGTTTCTCTTACTTACTCATGTTGTAAAGGTGACGTAGTACTTCTCGGGCAGCCAGTCTATATACTGAAAACAAGAAAATGCGACGTCGAACAATTGACGAAATTTATGAATTGAGGCAAACATACATTAACTAAAAACGAAACTTCTGGAATATTTATACATTTAACTCTCTATATCTTGTCAAATCTTAATCGAACAAGCGTTAACAAAGAAATAAGATAATTAGATAAGAGAATTAATATTCGTAAATTTGTGGCATATCCTTACCTTCAATTGAAACTCCAGCGTGCACCAACTACCACGTCGATGACTGTCTATACTGAAAACAATAAAAAATGCGACGACGAACAATTGACGCAATTTATGAATTGAAGCAAACATAGATTAACTAAAAATGATAATTTCTGAAATATTTATATATTAAACTCTCTATATCTTGTCAAATCTTAAACGAACAAGCGTTTACAAAGAAAGAATAGAGATTTGTATTTCCTTTTCAAGCTATAAATATCTTGTAAAATCTTAATCGAACCGTATTGCTGTAGTATGAAGTTATGTTATCACACTTATATAGTTCCAATCTGGCTTTAGATCAAATTTCTCAACTGACACAAGTTTAATCCATCTAACTGATTTTATTCGTAATGAGTCTGACAAAGGAAATCTAACTGGTATGATTTTATTAGATCTTCAAAACGTTTTGATACCGTTGACCACAAAATTTTACTAACCAAGCTAAACGCTATCGGAATGGATATTAGGACTGTGAAATGGTTTGGTGTTATCTCTCTAGTAGAAGCCAAATAACTGATGTAGGAGATACCTTCTCTAATAAGGACGCTATTACATGTGGTGTACCACAAGGATCGATTTTGAGTCCTCTGATATTTCTGATTAATGTTAATGACATGGCAAAGGCAGTTAACGTCAAGCTTTTATTATATGCTGACAATTCGGCCTTAGTAGTTACAGGGACAGAGATACAGGCTATACAGGAAGAATTAAATAGAGAATTGCATTCCGTTAATAAATGGCTCAATATATGACAATAATTTATCCTTGCATCTTGGAAAAACATAAAGTATTATTTTTGGAAATAAACACAAACTCAGGGATAATCCAAAGCTGGACATCAGATGTAATGGGCTGGAAAATGCACATAAAAATATACAGTATCTAGGAATAGACTTGAAAGGCTCCATGAGTGGTGAGGTAACGGAAATTAAGGTTGTAAAAAAAAGTTAACAATAGATCGAAATTTCTTTCCAGAAAAGCAAAGTATTTAAACACGGCATGTAAAAGATTACTAGTTTCTGCCCTAATTCAATGTCATTTTGACAATGCAAGCAGTATATATGGTACAGCAATCTCACGCGGCGCACACGGACTAAGTTGCAAGTGTGTCAAAAAAAGCCATTAATTAGATGCGTTCTCAACTTAGGTACTAGAGCACACATAGGTGCTAGAGAGTTAAAGGCTGTAAATTGGGTACCTGTAGAGCTCAGCGTAATTCAACTGACGGTCAATAGGGTTTTTAAAATATTACATAATCTCGACCCACAGTATATGACAGAAGGATTCATAATAACGTCGGAAGTCCATATAGTTTTAATACAAGAATATATATATGTGTGTATATATATATACGTGTGTGTATGGATCTATGGGTACTATTGTTATAAAAAGGAAAAAGCTGATATTTTCTGTTTGAATGCCGTGCTATGTGCTGTTCTTTTACACATGAGTGTGCTGGACACAGGCCTTTCACTTTCTTCTGCTCAACCTTGCCTGGTGCTCAAGCCGTGTGACCGGCTCCTTATTCACCCTATGCAGTATTCATACATGTATGGTTTAATTCCCGATCAATACCCAGAAATTTGCTATCAAGTCATATTCTGAATTTTGTATTGTGCACGAAGTATTGAGGAGAATTACTGTCTGTCACTGAAGTGTTGTGCGTCGATATCATGGTATTAACGACAGCAGAATAGATTGCCATGTATGGTTGTGATGTTGAGTGAGTGTGCTAGCATGGTTCGTTATATGTAGGTATCAGAGCCTGTCGATTACACCTTAAAAAATATATATATATTCTCATACATCCGACTTCCTTGCTGATCATTTGGAAAAGTGGGCGGGTGCTCTGCGCAGATGGAGATTGTTTGTTTTGTCGTCGATGGTCAATGTTTATTTAGTGTGTCAGTTAGTAGTAAAGCCGGACGATGGTTGTGAGAGGTATATATTATAGTTGTGAAAATGTCAAGTATGCAACATATAAAATGTATTTGTGAAAATGTCAAATACTTCGTGGAATATTGATTTGTAACAGTCATTAAAAGATAGCTGTTTAGCTATTACGTTTTGTCTCGTCAGATATCTAGAATCAAGCTTTATGGAATTTATTTATTCATATTCATTTATTAATTTAAAGCCAGTACATTGGTAAGAGATACATCAACATGAGCTTGCAAACTCCTCACCGTCAGTGAAATAAAAAACAGCTCTTAATTAAAAGTGCTAGTATAACAAGTAACAAGGGATGACACCAGGGCAGCTAGGTACCCCAAGTGTATGTACTTTTACTAAAATTAAATCAGCACACTATATTATAACATTGTACAAGGCGACACCAAACGTAAACACCATATCAACTAGTAAGGGAAACTGACGTAAACACGCGAAAAACGCAAATACTAACACATGAAAACAATAACAATAAGCTTGTAGGCCTATAGTAAAGTAGCCAAATAGTTGCTAAAGTTATATATCCTGTGTATTATATCATAGGGTATAGGTTTATCAAATTTGTGATATGTGAGGCGTGTAGTTCACGGTTATACTTGATGCGGTTTGTGATCGGTCGGGTCCTCATTGGCCGATATTGATTTTGTTAGAGCACGTATATCATATATGTATGATATACGTGCTCTGATTTTGTGTATACGGGAAATCAGATGTCAAATAAACATTAAAAACTTCATGCAGTCTTTGTCACATAATGGTTCTACGCAAATCCTGATTAAATTCTTGTCTACAACACACAGTTTGACCAACACGATAATTAATCATTAATGTTGAGTTCACAGCCACTTGAAGATTTCAGTAATAGTACCGTATATACTCGCGTAATAACCGCAAATTTGGCCTCAGATTTCAACCCTGTATTTGCTCTGCGGTTTATAAGTGCGCCATATACCGTGAGGGGAAATATACTAGGCGCAATACTTGGTTACCCGATTCAAATTGAGGTGCGGCTTATAGTAATTTGAGGGTTGGGTTATAGGCGCCGCGGTTATTACGCGAATCAGTATACGGTAATTATAAAAACAATTCTCGATGCTTCTAAAACTATGCCGAGATACCTCTATCATTTTAATGCCATATTTTCGTCAGAAAATATTAAATCCTCTGGTGAGAATATGAGCATGCGTTTCAGCTACGTAGCTAGATTGACTCTGTACTGACTGCCTATATGCAGTGGGCGGACCTTACACTGCAAGTTGCCTTCTTATTTTGAATGGTCTACTGAGTTAAATTTTCTTTATATATCTATGAATAAGATAGCCCTCTTCATTTTATTCATATTATTTGCAAAATTTATTATTTCGGGAGATATTGCGCATGGCGAGCGCCGTTTCGATTGCGCAGTCGGCTAATTAAAGTAACATAGTTACCTATACTGACTGGTGTATTGCAGTTGGGACCTTGATGCAAGGTTCTGCTTCAAATTCTGAAGTCGGATACTGATGAATTTTATCATTAATCTATGTTAGGGAGGTTTCTTTCTTCATTTTAAATTTTATGTTTGAGCAAATATTCTTCTTCTCGGGAGATATTGCGCCATGCGCGATCACGTTTTCAGGCGTTGCAGTACGGCTAATTAAAGTCGTATATGCTTGTGGGGGGAGGGGAGGGAACTCAGGACAAGGTGGCAGAAAGAAGTCGAGGGCGGTGAAGGAGAAGGAGGCTAGAGCGTTGCGACAAGGAAGACAAAGGAAAGATCGAGGTGGGAATGAGAGTAGGTAGTCTGCACCTAAGGGCTTAGGGCGCCTCCTATTATTAACACAGTGGTCTACGATAGAATTTATTGCAGAAACTATGTTGAATACCCTTTGATCTACTAAATCGATTTCCCTTATTATAATATCTACTTATAAATTTATTTCAAGGAAATCTATATTGATGATTTCCTACCATTAATAAATGCATTATTCTCAAAAAATTAACAGAAACATAGCTCCTGTGGTGAGATATTGCGCATGCGCTAACCCTTCTAACGCGTGGCAGATTGTGTATGCTTTGGCCTATTGCAGCGAACACTGTATGCAAGTTTCGGGCTATTTTCTTAAGTGAGGTTTACGGATGGTATGTCTATCTATATATCTTGTGATGATACCTGCTCTTCTTTTAAGGCTATAATTTTTGTAATATTATTCTTCTTATGAGATTTGCGCATGCGCGGCACGTTTCCAGGCGTTAGAACGGACTGAAGCAAACTGCACATAGTTGCTGAGTGAGAGGAGGGGGGGGAGACAGGAGGACAGCGGCGGGAGATAGGCTGAGGGCGGTTGGACGAGAAGAATCTAAGCGTAGGGGCAAGAAAGGCGGTGGCGGAAGCTGGAGGTGATGAAGTAAGAGTTTTGCACATTGCAGGCTAGGGCGCCTCTCCTAATTATACAACAGATGTACATATTAAAAATTTATTTAGAATCTATGTATGATAATACCCCCTCACATCATAAATGCTATTTCATCAGACGCATTAGCTCCTGAGGTGGATATTGCGCATGCGCTAACATTCTACCGTAGCGTTGTGTGTATTGACTGATAGAGCTTTATATGCAGCGTGGCATTAATGCCAAGGTCTTAGTATCTTTTCTTAGAGTGATGTCTATGCGATGTATTTATTATATTAATCTTTATGCTTGATAGCTTAATATAACTTGGCATAAAGCAACTGTAGTATTATATTGCGAAACATGGTAATTCTGGCGACGCTGGTATTGCGATTGCATGAGCGCCTCTCTTTCGGAGCGGCCGAGGCGCATTGCATGTGCAGCGGGCCACATTACATGACCTTTTCTTCTATTTATTAATAGTGGTCTATGATGAATGATTTCATGTAGTTCTATGCTAGAATCCTTCTTCATTTTAAGCCACTTTTTTGCTAATTATTTTCGTCCCTCGAGGATATTGCGCATGCGCGAGCGCTTAATGCGTACAGTAGGCCTACGATTGGAGAAAACTAATAATATTAGCTTTGATTAGATTGAGGGGTGGGGAGGCTAAGAAAAGAACATGCCTTCCCAATAAAATGCT